AACAGAGGAATATATTTGCGGTTTTAATATCAAAAACACTTTAGTGTTTTTGTGTGTATACAGGATGTTGTTGAATCAGGGAATCCGTGTGTCCACCATGACAAAGGATCCTAATTGACTTTACATTGGCATTGTTTCCGTGGTACCGGCATGTAATTTCAACCCATTACGTGCTGCCACCACGGAATGCGGTGTTAAGAGGTCGTGGTCATTTCACGTATTTCTGTGAGATCAGGTTGCACTGCCAGTTACTAGCCTGGCATGTATACTACAACGTTTTTGGTCATCTTTGCAGATCAGTGTTCGTGGCAATTGTTATCATAACGTTGTCATCTGAATGCGGAACATTTTTCAAAACACAAATGAGAAACGAAGAATCACAGCTGAGAATTTATATCGATCATAGATTGATTATTGACTGTAGAGGTAGTTAGTGATCTACCCAGGTTTAAAGAGAGCCACTTTTGTAGAACGGATAACGCTGGCTTTATTCTGAACATACCTTGCTTACCCACTGATCTTGCTTCGTGTACAGCCCTCTCATTTGTTCCACCTATGTCTAATCACCCTGCTCTCGTAGTGTATTTAGGTTGTGTGTTTCCCTTGTGTCATTATCATTTCATCATCTCTTTCAGTAAGTATTGTTCCAGCTAGGAATGCACCGAAATGAAAATTTGTGGCCGAAGCCGAATAAAATTAAACGCTTGGCCGAATACCGAGTACCGAATACTGAATGCCGTTGTTTAGTTTTTCATTAGTTCTTGGAGATGAACACCCTCCAGATTGTTGTCATGGTACCAAAATTGGGACCCACGGTACGATACTAGTGAAAGTATGATGGTTCTGAGTAGTATCACGATACCACTGCAAAAATGAGGCAAATGTGCCTTTTGTCATTTATAAAAAAATGAATCACTTTTCTATAATACATCAATGATATTTCAATGTAATATATTACTTATTGACTTATTCATACTTCAAAAATGGCATCAATAAGTGATTAACATAGTGGGGATCGAAATAAAATAAATAAATAAAATAAAAATCAACCAAAAATCAACCAGCCACCCTCCTCCTTTGTGGACCGTTACCTGCCACAAAGAGAGAAATGTGAACGGCTCGTTTCTCCTCTGGCATGTCACATACCTGTTTGCCGCCACGGCTCGGCTGTCCAGGTACTTTTTTTTCTCCGTCGCCTGTAAGCCGTTATCTTGTGCCGCGGAGCACATGGCTGCCGTATTTGACAGGAATACATTCCTGCCTGTGTCTGTGACCCCCGTTCAACCCACAACCGGCAGGATTCACCTTTCGTGGGGGCGTCAGTGGCTTAGTGGTAGAGCAGGCGCCCCATGTACAGGGCTGTTGCCGCAGCGGCCCGGGTTCGACTCCAGCCTGTGGCCCTTTGCTGCGTGTCGCTCCCTCTCTCTCTCCCCCCTTCACGCTTGTCTGTCCTGTAAAATAAAGGCTAAAAATACCCATAAAAATATCTTTAAGGATTCGCCTTTCGTTTCTGCTGCTGGTTGAAATTTGTACTCGCACAGCGTGCTCCTGAATGATTTTTGTTAGCTTGCACAAAACTATTTTTAGTCGCAAATGCAAGTAAAATGCTTGCACCGTAGAGCTCTGTGGAAAACAAATCACTGTAGCATATATAAACAAATCAAGTAAAAATAAATTAATAATTACTTTCACTGCTTAAAGATAGTAGCTCAGCTAATACCTGAAATGGCACTGGATACAAACCACTGCAGCGGCATATCAAGTGCCAGGTGGCCAGCGCGCGCCGTTATTGGACGGCGCATGGACACTCACCCTCTTGCGATGGGACTTTGAACTTATACCACAGTAGTGGTACCTGAGGTACCGTAGCACTACGGTACTCAAACATTACGGTATCATATGTACGGTGGTGTTTTAGTACCGCAGTCTACCAGTATACCCTGCAACACTACTCTAGATATAGTTCAGTGTTACATTCTTTATAAGCCGCTTTTCTTCTATCACTCTCCAACACTTTGAAAAATCGCCACACTGCCGAGATTTTAGTCCGTCCATCATCGCACGCTGTTTGATTGCGTCATCAAAACACGCTGCTATTATTCGGCCTTGCTTTTCACTTATTCCACCGAATACCGAATGTGTGTTGGTTTTTTTTGTAATATTCGGCCGAATATATTCAGTTACCGAATATTTGGTGCATCCCTAGTTCCAGCCCTTTCTTCCTTGTGGTGTTGTTTGTCTAGTGTTTGTTTTTCCAGTTTGCAGGATTTGTTTTGGATTTTCCTGCTACCTGTTGTTTGGTTGCTATTACCCGCCTGCCTCTGGACCCTCTCAGTTGTGAGTCGTTTTCTTGTGAAATCACCAACATCATCCAACTGCCTCCTCATCAGTTTATCTGCGTCGTCATTCAAACCACAATTTCTTGAAACTCTTACATAAATAGAATTGACAAGCAGATCTACAAAAATGAAAGATGATATGATGATTTTAAAGATGGAGTGTCATGTAAAAATCTTATCAGTTCAGTCATCTTTTTGGCAAAGCTGTAAAATTACACAGAATGTTAACCATGTTGGCATGCAACCTAGGTTTTTTTGTTGCATGACTGCTCACCTCCCATGATTTCCTGTCATGCTGCATTGTAAACGGTCGAAGACAAACAGTGACATACAAACAATTGTAAAAGTCTGCAAATGATACTTTGACAGAAATCCCATCCTTTCTGATTTGTTGAAATTTTGGGCAAATTATCCATCATGAGAATATAGTATTAGGGATTCAAGCCCCAAGGGCTTTAATTAAGGTTTAAGCCCTTCAGACTTTTTTTTTCTTCAGAAATGTTTTCAAAAATTCCTGTGAGATATTACATCCTGGACACATGAAATTTTCAATTTTTTTTCAATTTTACAAATAATTAGAAGTTGTGTGCAAATGCTGCTCAAAAAATTTAAAACCAGATGGGGCGCTATAATTAAGGCTCAAAAATTTTAATTTTGAAAGGAAACACCCTTGACATCGTACTCAACTCAACTTTATTTATAGAGCACTTTAAAAACAACAACAGCCGAAAAAAAGTGCTGTACATAAACATAAAAACTTAAGACATAAAACAATTATAAACACTAAAACAATAAAATAAAATAAAATAAAATAGAATAAAGCAAAACAATGAAAACACCGAAACAAGAGCAGAGTCTCATGCTGAGTTGAAAGCCAAGGCATAAAAATGGGTTTTAATATGAGTTTTAAAAATGGACAGTGAGGGGGCTTGTCTGATGTGTAAAGGTAGATTGTTCCAAAGAAAAAGCACTACCCCCTCTGAGCTTCCACTTGGACCTCGGTACCTCCAGGAGCAGCTTATCAGCTGACCTGAGGCACCGAGCAGGAGCATAGGGATGAAGCAGCTTAGAGAGGTAAGGTGGGCTGAGACCATTTAAAGATTTAAAAACAAATAAAATAATCTTAAAATGAACTTGAAAGTGCACAGGCAGCCAGTGGAGGATGGGAGAATGGGAGTTATGTGCACCCTCTTACGTGCTCCAGTTAAGAGATGAGCAGCAGCATTTTGAACACAAGAGCCACTGGGACCAAACACCATCACTTCTGTTTTCTTTTCATTAAAATTTAAAAAGTCTCCAGGCTTTAATGTCTTCGAGACCTAACAGAAGTGGTTTAAGCGAGAAAGCATCTTTCTTCTTCAGCGGCACATATATCTGACTATCGTCAGCATAACAATGGAAAGAAATACCATGCTTTCTAATTATGGAGCCCAGAGGCAGTAAATACAGTGAGAAAATCAGGGGCCCTAAAATTGAACCCTGTGGAGCCCCATACGACACAGGAGCAGAGCAGGAGTCAGAACCACCAATGCTTACACACATAGTTCTGTCTGCCAGATAAGACCTAAACCACTCCAGAGCACTACCACAAATGCCCACTAGGTGCTATAACCGAGCCACTAAAATATTGTGGTCCACAGTATCAAAGGCCACTGTTAGGTCCAGCAGAACAAGAATCATATAATCGCCAGAGTCATTTGCCAGGAGGATGTCATTAAAAACTCTTAATAAAGCTGACTCTGTGCTATGCAGTGTTTTAAAGCCAAATTGAAAGACCTCCAGGATATCATGCTCATCCATAAAGGACTTTAACTGAGCATGAACAGATTTCTCCAGGATTTTTTAAATAAAAGGCAGCTTGGTGATGGGCCTGAAATTGGCCAGCACAGTGTGATCAAGGCCAGGTTTCTTTAGCAGGGGCTGCACTACTGCATGTTTAAAACTTAAGGGGTCAACACCAGAAGACAGGCTGCTGTTAATAATGGCCAGAACTGACTGTCCTATACTAGGGAAAACCTTCTTGAAAAAGTGAGGAGGGACAGCATCACCCGGAGAACCTGATGGCTTAATATGGCCAACCATGTCATCTAAAAACTCCAGAGTTGCAGGCTCAAACTTACCAAACACAGCCGAGATAGGAGCAGAGACAGAGGGGTCAGAGGCAGGAGTTGAGATAAAAGACCTTGTGGTAACAACCTTGTTGATGAAGAAGTGCAGGAAGCTATTGCACATTTCAGGGGGTGCTTCCATGCAGACAGACTGTGGGGCATTCAGAACAGAGTCAATAGTTTTAAATAACACACATGGGTTGTGATGATTAGACACAATAATGTTTGACATGTGTTCTCTTTTGGCCTCTTAACAGTGTTTTGGTAACGGCGCCAACAGTCAGACAGGATTTGGAAAGAAACGTGCAGTTTGTCCTTCTTCCACCTGCGTTCAGCTTTGCGGCACTCAAGTCTGGCTGCTCGAGTTATGTCATTGAACCAGGGCTCAGGTTTAGCTTTAGGCTGAACAGTTTTAATGGAGCCAGAGTCTTTTTTCGGCAGAAGGAGTGAAACCAGGAACTGAGCTCCTACGTGTTAAGAGATGTTGAGTCAGAGGGGACATAGAGGTGGTCGAAGGCAGCAGAGAACTGACCGGCAGTGAAAGGATTAAAAGTCCGACGGCACTGAGCAGGAGTGCAAGATTTAATTGTAACACAGGAGAAACCAGCTTCGAATAATATGGGCATATGATCAGAATTCACATTGTCACAGATCTCCAAGTTAAACACAGACAAACCATATGAGAGGACGAGGTCTAATGTATGTCCATGTTCATGTGTGGGACCACGGTCCGTGTACTTCACGGCCATTCGTTTTTTGTTTCGAAATAATAAACTGAAACACGGAAAACCAACCGTTATCCGTTTTTTGTTTTGAAATGACCAAACAAAAAAGGAAAAAAAAAAAAACGGATAGTTTTTTATTTGATAATAAAAAAAAAAGAAAAACAGAAAACGAATTGTTATCCATTATCTGTTATCTGATTTAATTTGGGAATTAAAAAAAACCCTGTGGGAATCTCCTTTCTCTGTTTTTTGTTCGTTTCTTCTCTGTGACCAGTAAGTTGCATTCAGGTGGTGTCGGAATAATTGGAAAAATGACTTTCCGACTGGGAAAATACAACACCCGCTCGTGTCAAAAAAACAACTCGGAGATAATTCTGGAACAGGAGGTGCCAACTTGACTGAAATTGACGTCACTTTCACAGAAAACTGGCGGACGAAAAGCAACGTTTGGTCCATGGTAATAAAACTTTTTAATAGGCCAATTCACGTATTGCATATCATTTTTTGCGGACATGTAATGTGTAATGTGGTATGCCGTTAGTTGCTGTCCATGTAGAGTGACCTAGATTAGTTAGAAAAGTTATTTATTAGCATAACATGTCAGATAAAGCAATATTCTAGTAGTTATAGGAAATGTACATGCTCTGTATGTATATTTCATAGCTTTTATGTGCTCCACGAAGGACCCGTCAAGAGATGTGTGTCATCAGAGAGCGTCAGGCGGCACTGGGCCCTGGCGGCAATATGTCTTTGGATGAATATGCAGGTTTTATTGCGGAAAATAGAAGAAATGGAATGTTCTGTGTTGATATCACTGCTGCGTTATGTACCCAGTTTGGAACGAGACGGGAGTTTTCTGAGAAAGGAGTTTCCCACAAGGTTTTTTTAAAATTCCCAAATTAAATCGGATAACGGCTAATGGATAACGATTCGTTTTCTGTTTTTCTTTTCTTTATTATAAAATAAAAAAACAGGAGACGGATCATTTATTTACTTTTTTGTTTGGTCATTTCAAAACAAAAAATGGATAATGGTTGGCTTTCCGTGTTTCAATTTGTTATTTCGAAACGAAAAACGAATGGCCACGAAGTACACGGACCGACCACACACACACTGTACCAAATTGAAAGAGTCAATAAGGCTTAAAAAGTCCTTCACCAATGGCTTATCAGGACAACACACATGGATATTAAAATCTCCAACAAAAAGGGCATGGTCATAATTCTAATTATGCCTAATTAATAATTAGGCATAATTTCAGCCAGGAGATCAGAAAAGTCATTCACAAAGTCCTTGTTGTATTTGGGGGGTCGGTAGGTGACAGCGCACAGCACCGGGTCCCATCTAAAATAAAGTCACTCAAAGCTGGAGAATGAAGATGATACAGTGTGCTGCTTACATTTAAAACCATTTTTATAACCAGTCGCTGTTCCTCCTCCACCACCCAATGTCCGTGGGGAGTTAAAAAAATAAGAATAGCCAGTAAAAGTTCGACAAGAGTGCTGCACTCACTGGCACCGATCCAAGTCTCTCAACAAGAGGAAATCCAGGCTCCGGGAGCTGAAGAAATCACTCAGGATAAAAGTTTTGTTCGCCAGAGATCTGGCGGAGTTCCTCAACTGAGGTGGTGACAGGTACAGTACCAGGCAGATGGCGATGGGATCCAGGAGGTGCTGGGGCACAGCGAAGGGACGGTATAATTCATGTTCCGACCAGGAAATAGATGGAGAATGTGCCAACCAGACTTTCAGCTTCACCTGCCGGCTGCTGCGTTTACCGTGGCGACGGAGATGCTTCCGCCGGGAGGGTAGGGCCGAGGCCCAGTAAAGGTGAGTTGGGATTCCCGCCAGGAGCAGGGGCAAAGTTTTCTGTCCACTATGATACGCACCTAGCTCTCTGACATTATGTCAAGGATCCATGGGGAATTGGCAATCATAGACCAACAGAGACTCGATCTGTATAATGCCAAGGGTTAGAAACATCAAAAACACCAACCAAAGTAGGAGCAGCAGACGGCCAGCCACACACACCGGGGCCATCTTCCAACATCTACACCAAGCTGTTGACACTGGCTGGCAATCATAAGTCTGGTTGACTTGAAATCTGAGTCACAAGTGCAGCTCAATGTGCTCTACAAAAAACATAGAGGAAGCATGATTGGACCACTGTAAAATTTTACATCATTTTGAATTTTTTGAAAAACACATTTTTGATATCTCCTCCTGAACTGGTTTGTACCAACCTTTCTCTGGGTTACCAATGGACCAAGCCCATCAAAAGTTATCAAAAGCTTGTTGATATGTCATTGTGTTTCAAAGATATTGACCAATGAACTTAAGAGGGAGGAGGGAAACTTGAAATACACCTAACTCCATTGCCACTGAACCAATCCTCACGGAACTTGTAGGATATATTCACATAAGTACCTGAATCATACCCTATAAGTTTTGTTCAAATTGACCATTAGAGGACGCTTAGTATGCAAAAAGTTTATATCTCACAGTCAGCTACAGAGATTTGTACACAATTCAGTTTGCACCATCTAGGGTCATGTCTCAGCTGATGCATAAAATTTGGAAGTCATTACTTGAAAAGGGCATGGCTTATTGCAGTAAATTGTAATTTTAAGATATTTCACATTCTAAACTTGAGAAAATCATAATAAATCACCAGTATGTCCTAAAGGGATGAAATTGTTTCAGCACATCCACTGAAAAGTGACAAAAGTCTGCCATACTGCAACCTATAGTCAATTCAGAAGTCTGTCGCTGTATATTTTCAGGAATATTCAAAATTAATTAACACCTATATCTCAAAAAGTCTTCATTCAGAGGCAATCAAAATGGACATAGACAGTCTTTGGATACTATCACGTTTCAAATGGTGTTCAGATCAGTTTAACAGTTAGCTTGCAGTGATATTCAATAATTTGTACTGTATACACAACATTTTCTATCTCATCTCATTTTTTACCAAACGTCACCAAAACATTTGACAATATACCCGAAATCAGCAGAATGATGAGATTTTTTTTTCCAGAATTTTATCACCAGCACATTAAGTGTTATTGATATCTCATTGCATTTTTAAGATATTGACCAATGAGCTTCAGATGGGGCGTGGCTCCATCCATAATGCCACAACCTTTAGGCCAATCATCCCAGTTCTTGCAAGCAATGTGGTAAGAACTATCAGGGACATATCCTGAAAGTTTCATTTAAGTTGACCATTAATGGGCGCTACAAATACAAAAACATCGGCATAAGATTACACAAATCAATCTCTAAATCATAAATTGATTGTCCAAATATTACAAAACTTGCAGGGTATGTTAAATAATATGAACCACACGTGTTAAATCATCTGAAATCAGTCAATAGGGGTACCATCAGTTATAAACAAGTGCAACGGCCTTTCACAAAATTTCGCTATAAATCAATTACAGTTTGTTCAACATTTGACCAATAGGAAGTGACAGTGTTTTCAAAGAAGAGTGTGGCCCAGTAGAAATTTGGAAGAATAAGCATCTGTCTGATTGGCATAAAACCTGTTGTTTATCTTTAATGCAAACGCTCTAAATTGTCAAAGGTCTTGATCTTAGCCAGCTCTTCTTACCCAACAAAGAATCAAGTTTTATTTTTTATCAAGTAAACTGTAAACAGCTGTGCTCTGGGATCATGGAGGGGCCCATTGTCCGTCTGCAGCATTAACAGTAATGTATAATGACTGGAAAAAGTACTGTAAGGCCCCAGTCACACAGAAAGTGTTTTGCAGGTTGCAAAACGCAAGGTGCACCACACTGCCTTTTTTTTTTTTTTTTAAATTAAATGCCACTAGTAAAAAACAAACACTTGCTGCACCATTTTATTATTGCCAGGCAACCACCCCATTACCTCCTTGCCCTAACCTTCTTGTGTAATCAATCTACTGTTTATTTTATCCTTTTTTTATTTTATTTATATCACAGTAATTAGTAGCTAGCAGACACAGGGTACTTGCTGTAGCTCTGGTTGAGGATGAGAAGCTGTCAGCAAATAGTTTGTGGGTACAAGAGACCCTAAAAAAGGGTGGATCAAGGGGAGGGACACCAGTTGTTCCAAGAGCTTACTTTCCAGTCCATTGGTCCTGCCAAGCAACTGAACACCACCAATTTTTCCTCCAATGTTTAGCAACTATAAATTTGTTGTCGTGATCATCACAGAAATTCCCTAATTGGACAATGGGGAAAAAAAGCAGAGATGATGTGGGGTGCCTTTCCACTATGTGGGTGTCAGATTTCAGTCTCAGTGTTTTTAAAGTCTTTTCCAAATTATTCTAGTGTATGGTACGCATTGATTACCTAGGATGCAGCATCAGTTCTTTCACTTTACTTAACAGCAACAATAAAACATTATGGTGAAGCATACATTATTATAGATGCATTGATATGTACAATACTTAACACATGCAGTGATAACTTATGGTACTGCATGGACTATTATAACATACTGTGTCCTTACTAGAATTTATTTGATGCTGAATAGATAATTTTGGTGCTCTCTATGATCAACTCAGGTTGTGAGATTTGTATAATGTTATGTAATAGATTGTATATAAAGATAAAGAGTCTCCGGTTTTGTTAATAAAATTTTAAAATGAAGGATTTTATATGTTTAATTTTCAGATGCATTTTCATAGAATCATTGAACCCTACACGACCTCTTAACACCGCATTCCATGGTACCGGCACATAATGGGTTAAAATTACATGCTGGTACCATGGAAGCAATGCCAATTTAAATTCAGTTAGGATCCTTTGTCGTGGAGGACACACGAATTCCCTGTTTCAACAATGTCATGTCAACGTCGTTTTCCTCAATGATATCTTGAACATTTCTGTATACACTCAAAAACATGAACGTGTCCCTGATAACTCAACAATATGATAGGTTACTGTTAAGGCCATAAAATAAAATAAATGTATTTTGCCAGGACTTACATTTCTGTATTTCATTCAACTTCCACTGTTACATAACTTAATTATTTATGCACACTGTTGCTCTTTTCACGACATATATTTCATACACTTCTTTGTCCATAGGGCAGACCATATTTCCTTTGTACAGTCAGTATTTTATTTCACGTTTTATAAACCATTTCCGGACTATTAGGCTACTATTCCACTCTGTAAAAAGATTTTAAAATTTCAATATAATTTTAATAGCATTTTTGCTCATTTCATTATTGCATTAATGGGGGGTCTCGGTTTTATAAGGTTAATTAAATTCACTGCTCACAGTCTTCACCTAACACACACACACACACACACACACACACACACACACACACACACACAAGAACATGCACTCCTTTTCTCATACAGGCACTCCTTCACATGCACACATCTAATGTGTGAATTATTCTGTGTAATGATGACCATTGCCCTTAGGGTTTTTTTGGTTTCTCCTGCACATTTGTGATATCTATTCTATATATTGTATGTTTTTTGTTCTACTCTTGCATTGTTTTGTTTTATATATATTTTTCCTCTCGTGCTAATAAATAAATAAATACATAAATTGTTTATATATTTTGCTGACTGTTAAAATGCACCAGACAAATAAGCTTTGTTCCTGTAATTTGTTTACATATTTTGTTCATTTAAAATAATTTTTTCTGTTGCTGTGCCAATCCCTTTAATGCCCCTTTAATGTGAAAGTTTCATTTTAATATAAGATTTTGGCTGTTAACATTTTACTATGATAAGGAAGTTACGAGATTTAGTGAAGTTATTTCAATGTATCTATTTTTTGGACATTTTACAGCGCTTAAAAAAATATCACGATATTATCATTTACCATGATAATTTGGTGACTATAATCGAGATCAGGGGTCACGTTAACCGGATATTCTCGGTCATTGACCGGTTTTTTACAGCAATGACCGGAAAATCTGAAGGCCGTCGGTCATTTTGACCGGTTGCAATTACCACCCCTGCCCACATGGCGGCGGAGTGCACAGTCAGTGGCTGCCGTTTTCACACTGCAGAGAAAAAGTCATTCATCTGCTTCATGTAGCGTTGTTGAGCCCTGGACACACTGGACGCGTAGTGCCACGGAAGTCCTGCGAGTGTACTCACAGCTGCTTGACTGTCCACACAGGCAGCAAATTTCTCCTGTGCTCTCCGCGCCGGTTAAACATTGACTCCACTCGTCTGTTCCCGTCAGTACTCATTTTTTCATTTCAACAGGTCATTTTAAACATGGGTAAGTCCATATTTTAATCGTTTTTTATAACGTAATAAGTTAATTACAATTTGTCATTGCATGTCCATGTATTGAGCATGTTGGATAAACACCTGAATGAATAGGGCATATTGTTCTGACCATTTTATTTATGTAGTTATGTCTGTAGGCTCGGTGACACAAAATTAAAATTGTAATGAAGTGATCAGGGTATTGAAAAATGTGTTCGGTTATGCGCTGTAGTGTTATTTTAAATTATAAACACGGTATTTTCTCCTCACGTTCCTCAGTGCGTGCTGTTGTTATTTTATTTTGAAAATTGGCCGGATTGTCTCGTCTTTTCTGTGTCTGACTTCCTGTTTGGTATGATCTGCTCTATTCAGCTTGACAGAAGTGCTCGCGGCTCGCATGAAAAATAGACCAGACGCAAAACTGAAGCACTGCCTCCGCGGGCGCTCCACTCTGCTCAG